TCGTTCACCGATCCGGGACCCGATCGTCGTTTGGGTCACGTTTTAGGTGGTCACGATTTATTCTGCCCGTGACAGCATATTTATATGTTAATGAGCGTTGTGCTGCAGAACACACAATTTAAAGGCGAAATACTTAGTTGGTATAAATTTGCTAAAAGATTTGAAAATAGACTAAATGAAATCTTAGATAATAATCATGTAGAAAATTCTCTCTACTTAAAAATATGTCGGGTACTGTTATATAACTGGCTATTGATTAAGTTCTTGCAAATATACTATGTAGTTGATGCTTCAGGTTATATGATCCCGAAGTTTAAAATTTGCCTATAAAAATCTTTTTAAAAGATTTTTATAATCAGAATACAACCATGAATTTCATTCTTCTGTTTAAAAAAGATGCAATTCTTGCAACTGGAAAATTTCTGTAATTGATTATATGCATTAGAGAAAGGGATAGCATACTGCCTTAAAAGTATGTTGAAATTTTATATCTGCAAATAATTATATATGTTACTGTATATATATAATCACTGCAGAAATATCTTTGCTTTTAATGTAATGATTCGAATCTGCAAGTGGGTGATGAAGTTGTCCGTCACACGTAACATTGCTAGTTTATATATTAGTTTTAAAGTTCCTAAATAATCGTATTTCACTCTTATTTTGTATTTAATTAGTCACCTACAGAGCAGGGAATTTTGTTTTGTGCCAAACATCTTCCCAATTTATATGTCATACACTACCGAAGTTAGAAATCTATCGGCTTATTCAACACCAAATTCTCCCAATTGCCTGTGGCAATAGGAAACATTTGATTGCCTTTTGAGTATATCACAATTAGGCCACCACCACGTCCAATGCCTACGTTAAAAATATTTTAGATATATATTATGACAATTTTGGCACCTACAGAAATGGTTATTTAATCTCATCAAACCGCTCAAAGATATACAGTGTTTAGAAGATTGGTTCATTATATGGATGCTTGGATAATTGGATGCATTACCGCAGACTTAGCTATTAATGGCTGCAAAGTATGTAATATCTCAATTGATCAGCTAATTGATCCAAGCCGTTAACGACCATTTAAATAAAGAAGGAAAAACAATCACTAACCAAAGAGAACACATAATTTTATTGAAAACGCACGTTTTCAGCATTGCGCTACAAAAGAATTTTTAGACATTAAAAAATCGGCAAAACAAAGAACAATTGGCTATTAAATATGGGTTGACAATAACTTCTGGATCTCTTAGTGCATTTAAATGGGATATGTACAAACTCACATGACATTTACTATTCAATGGCTTACAAAGCCCGCACGTACTTTATTAGATGCAACATTCAATATATTAGTATGACTAGAAAAGAAGCTTTTTTAACATACTAAAAAATATTAAAAAGCTTGCTTATTGATATCATATGCCTAATCCACTATGGCATTGGCACTTAGCCAAATTCTTTAAAATTAGTTTATCATACTGCACTGTAAGATTAACATCGAATTTTTGGGGAAAGCTTTATGTCTCCGATGTTTTGAGACTTGCCATTTTAATGCCATTTATACTTAACCAATTTTTAAAACCTTGTTACATTGACAGTCCTAAAATCGGTAAGTCTGTCGCTAGGGCTAAAGTCGCTTCGTGTAACCAATGATTGGGTTAAAAAAGGCGTGTTAGATTTGGCGAGCGGTTAAGCAGAGGTTTGGGATAGTTTTAGGAAATACCAGGTTAAACCAACTTAGTGAACGTATAGGGTTATTATGTATGAAGTTTAGAGATAGTATTGTATGTTTATTTGGGATACTTGTATTATTATATGAATTTAATAAAAGCAAAGGCGGGAGTTGTTCTTCCCAAAAGAGCTTTTATTTATAATTGTTAATTCAGTTATTTACATTCGCAGGATCATCTTTAAAATCACCAATAAAACCCAAATTGGCCTTATAGCCAGTATTATTAATATCCACCATATTGGGGGGTTTCAAAGTTAAAATCAGAGAATCTCATTTTATTTTTCCGATTTATAATTCAGCATAGTAAAAATACTATTGAAAAAATCCTATTTATTTTCGAAATGCGTCACTTATTTGTTAACTTTGAAACCCCCTATTACTGAAATTATCCTTATTGTCTAGATTCCCCCAATATCCTAGATCTGGGTTATCTAGGAAATATAAATCACACTATTTACATGTAATTTGCAAATTACAGAATTAAATTTGCTTTACTAGAAAGAGAGAACATTTTAAAAATTCACGATTTTTATCATAAAATTACTATGATAAAAGTCTTACATATAGTGCTACACTATGTTTATAAATCATTTAGTTAGCGAGACTTAATTAATTTAATTAACATCCCGAGTATGGTTAGTATTATGCATCCTAACATACGTTAATAAATATATAGTACGTACGTTTCTTTCATCAATAATCTTTATTATCCAAAATTTGAAATGATGGTATCAATGATAACTTGTATCCAAAAATGAAAAATTTTAAAACTTGATAGAGTACAAAGTTTAACGTAGAATTTTATTGATCTTTAAAATAGCATGTATAAAATTCTAGTAAATGCTATTTATATATGTATATCCATATATCAAAACGTATTATAACTATTCTAGTTGTTAAATAAGTAACAAAACTACGAAAAATAAATATAAAGTAAAATAAATCATATTATGAAGTTAATGTAAATACGTTTCTACAATAAATGAAATTAGGAACACTGTGGTATTCGTAACTTTACAAGGCAACATTAGTTTTACAATACTGAAATTAATGAAAAAAAATTATGACATTTATAAATTGAATGCAATAAATTTTTACGCGGAATTTACAAGACGTGCGAATTCCAAGCTGCTTTCGGTTTCGGCTCTTGCTGATTCTAATGGTGATATATGGACAAACATAAGAACTTTGGCATTACCACCTATCAAAATGCGAAATAAATTATATTTTAGCATTTGTTATTCAAGACATTATAATTAATAATAATAATAATAGTAATAGTGATAAACTCACGCAAAGAATTTTTCAAAAGCCAAGTTAAAGTCGAATTCCTAAAGTTAATATGATCCGACTTTTCCTTGATACCTTGAATCACAGTTTTCAAGTGACTTAAGCTTGAATTAATATATCTCGCTTCTTGTAAATGATCTCCTTGTGAGCCAGATTTTGATAAACGTTCTGAACCAGCCAAATCAACCAGATTCAATGTTCCAATTCGATTTTCACCGGTAATTGTATTTGTACCCATTAACCGAACCATGAAAATACTGTGACTTCGAGATGAGTTAGCATTGGATTTTGTTGATGCGACGGCTCTATTTTTGGCAGCCATTTGTAAAACCCAATTAAGAGTCGCAACTGAATCGAGATTCACTATTTTATAAATTATAATTTGAAAATAAATAAATAAAAGTTTATATTTTTATAAAAATACGTAATAAATAAATTTTACCAGTTTTGGCCTTATTGACCATAGTCGTGCCAGTTTGTTCATCATGAATTGTTCGAAATTTGAGACCACGATGATTAGAAGGATCATCAGAGAGCAAATCACGAATATTATCATTATAAATTTCGATAAATTGACCTTCTATTTCATATTCCCAACCTTGAGATTTTAATTCATCAACATGATTAAATATTTGACGAACAGCACGTGGAATCATGCCTTCATTATAAATAGTTGGATCTTGTGGTCCTTGCATGGTATAAGTCTTACCAGCACAAGTTTGACCATATGCGAAAATGCAACCATTAGAACCATCAACGACTGATTGAACTATGGGAGCAACGTTAGTATAAATTTCTTCTTGTGTTGCAGAAGCACCAAAGACTTTATCAAATTTATAGTCTTTAAAAGTTTCTCTTTCTACACCCCAATAATTCCTTTTAATAGAAGCAAGGGAAATTTTTTTGCCAGAAGAATATGGAGGAAATCGAATATCAGCGATATCTTCACATTCAGATAATACAGGTGGACGTACGCGACAAAATACTTTAATATTTCCTTTATGTTCATGGAAATTTTTACGAGGGTGTTCTTTTACTTGCTTTTTATTAAGCTTATTGTTATTATTAATGATTTTTTTATGAGATCGAGAAGTAGCATTTTTAGTTAATTCTAAATCATTTTTATAATGATTAACTCCAGAATTCTTCATGGATTGCATTGCTTCACAATATTGTCGGATATTCATTAAACTATCCTTAATTTCAGCCATATGAACATCTTTATAAGAAGGATGATCATCTTCATCCATGAATAGATCGGGATCGTATTCTACCTCCGGGGTATCATCTTGAAGTTGCATAGTATTGTTAAGAGCTTCAATTTGTTCTTTGATATATAGTTCTATCCTAGCTCTAAGTATCTCATTCCTTAAATTCATTACTTCAATTTCAGAAGAGGTAAAGTTTGTCTTTGGAGGAAGATGCTTAGTTACTCGTTCGATAGATTCAAATTGATTCGTACGAAGAGAAGAGAGTTTTTTTAAAGAACCGCAGCATATTGTTGATCTCTTTGAAGAAATTTTTGTAGTATCATCTTTTTGAAATGATCTTATATTTCTTTGAAGTTCGGCGGCTAAAACTTCATCATTCTTCCGTTTCAAGGAGGGAGTTCGGGTATGATTGATAAGCTGCGATTTACGTCCTTCTGGGATAATTGGGACACCACAGCCAACCTCCTTCATCTCATTGCCAGTAGTAGGTTTTTCATTAATTTTTTCGGGTAATTTGACTTTGGCAAATGAGGAATAATCATTGTATTCGATATCAAGCATTTTAGAAGATGGTGCTTGCGCTTTTCTTATCTTGCGTGTAGTAGAGCCGACTTTATTAGCGCTGCTTGGAGTAACTTTAAAAGTTTTATTCGAATACATGATGATAATCTTCTTACTGACAAATGTAAAAAGAATTTATATAAAACGACAGAATGCTTTCTCGTAAAATAAAGAATGCTTTCGTCAAATAAAAGAGAGTAAAATTTTACTCGTCAGATAAGGAAGAATGACCGCAAGATAATTATCAAATTGTGGGTTAAGAAATCAATCTCGAAATTTTGGTCATTTTATAGCTTTACTAAATCATGTGAATAACATTGAATGTGAAATACAATATAAAAACAGTAAAGCTTGCGTAGACTGGTTAACGAAAAATTTACGCAGCTAAACAAGATTTATGCGTGAAGCCGTTGCATTAAATTGCATCTATAAAAATGTCAGGTATTATTAA